ACCAGCATGACTACTAGGCTGACTTAATTATTAAGTTGATTTGGCAGATTTGGCAGATTTATAATAGTTTTCCTTCTCATTGCCGGTGACATTTATCAAAATATTGCCCCTTTCATGTTGTGGTTATAAGTAAGTTTGGTTAGGACAAGGTGGGTTTACTCGCACAAAGTTTAATCGGCCAAATATTGTCCGTGGTAAACGTTCGAGCATTATTCCAAACTTGTGAGGTTAATGTAGTGACCAAAATTGAGTTCATATCACAATCTGGACCATGGATTCTGTGGGGAGTATGCTCGTCCGCCGACGCAGGTGGATTTAGAATTTGCCTGCAAAGGTGATACAGGTCTTAAAATTGCAATGTCAATTGAACTACGTAGAAAGACGTGGGAATTTGTAGGAGTGTGACTATGTAATCCTGCTTCACGTCCTATGGATATTTATTGACTTCCTCTATTCAGTTGACTTCGTAGATGGCTGTCCGGATGATTCCACTGAGCACTTTCGATGTTCCCCGCCTTACACTGATAAACAATCCAGACGCCTGTGTATGGGAACGCGGACTATCCTAGGGGTACTTTAGGTCGGTCTGTTATCGACAACGTGGGCCTGTGTGCATTTAATCTCTGTTATCTAGGTTCTGTCAGAAGGAGAATAAGCAGCACACCAATTGGCTGGTGTGTGAAGAAGGGTCTTTAGCAATCGTAACTAACTGGTTTAGGGACTAGCTGGGTAGTGTTCCATTTAGGCACTGTGTCTTGAAAATCTTTGTGGAGGAGACTCGTTAAACAGTATTTTTCGTCTTATTTTTAGGCTGCAACTTAGCTTTCTATTAATACGAGGTACTAGGAATGACAAATAGGACGCGATATTCTGCGGACAGTGGAAAAAAACGGAACACGCCATTTATTCACTCTGTTTAGGTTTAAACTCGCATTTATTGATTAGTTATAAATTACTTGCTCTTTTCTATGCATGCATATTTCGTCTTAGATTTCGATCACAGGGAACCTCAGGATATTTATAAAACCAGCAAGACTTTTTCAAGGAACTTACCCGTGATTTGCACCCCTGGTACAAAAGAAAAACAAAAATACCGGTTAAAGAACGAAAAATAATGTTTATGTAAATTAGTCCAAAGAAGTATATTCATTTAAACAACGAAGACATTAACTGACAGTGTAAGTAAGTCAGTAGCATATTTTAATGCAACCAGTGACAAGTTTTTAGCCATGTACGATTTTGATGAATATTGTCCTATTTTGGTTTAAGTGTTGTGAGCAAAAGTTTGGGATCCATAAGCTTTTGGGTGGCTTCCGGAGAACAGAGTCAGGTTACTTGTTTCTCGACTCTAGGTCATTGATTTAACGTGATAGGTCATCCAAAAATAAAGTTATGACAAGCGACCGTGGGCATTGTACAAATGGATAATTTTAGTCTTACCTACGAAATGTAATTAAGTGTGGTCTATTAGTCTAATAAGGTAAGTTCTTGTTTGTTTACAGTTATGAATAATGGGCAGGTATCCACACTACATTGCATGAAGTGTTCGCTTTTGGTCAAACGCTCTTATCATTAAGTTTTAACGTTTACTGGTATCGGTGGATGCCTTGCGCTCCCAGTTCTATATACCAAGGAAGATCAGCCCTCCATCGAGTTGCACTTTAATTAAAGTTTTACTATACAAACATAAATAAATCGATTTTACCTCATTCTTACTTTCTAAGATGACCTCATTCAGATTTTAAAAAAGCCGTCGAAGGAGAAAGAAACCCATGACTCGAATTAAGGTTACACATAGGTGTAACCCTCCAGTTCGAATACTGATGCTTCACACCAACTGGTCGATCGGCGCAAGAGCTATACGCTGTATCTACTCATCGATGTTTTCGACCAGGATTTGAAAATGGATTTAAAGGCCTTTCGGCTGAACAGGACTTACCCAGTGAGTGGCGGTGGTGTGGGCAGAGGCTTGTGAAAGTCCTTGCTGTTCTGCAGCCAGTAAGAGTTCATTTCAATGCCTCCCTCCAGTTCTACCGTGCCACGGTACTCTGTCGTGTAGCCACCAATCGTGTCCAGCAGCTCTTTAAATGGTTGACTGATGTGGATTCTAAAGGCTATTGCCACAAAACGAAATTGGAAATCTGACCTTAGTCGTTTGCTGAACACATAAAGGCAAAAGGGTGCGTATTCGCAGAATATGTTTTATATGCACAGCAATCCGGCAGGTGTTTAGTCTTCCTCTCTCTCCCTCTCGCAAAAGGGTTATCGTTTTAAATGTAATAAAGAAATTAACAGCACAAACCTGCTCCGGTTGATTCC